GTCCTCCATAAAATGCGTTGCACACATTTCAATATTTGGTTTGAACTGTTCTGGAACAGTGTTGTAAATACAACAACAACCACTGATTTCTAGCCGTGTCCTCTTTTGGAAGGCCAAACAAAGTATTTTCGATTTCACAACAAGAAACACAGCGTTTTCACGGCATGGGGGCGGCAGCAACAATACTACAGCGAGAATCAAAGTTATACCTTCTTTCTTTGAGTGAACGTTTGGGCGGTGTTATGCAAATCTTCCCACATCGTGACGTAGACATGTGGGGGCGTGTTTAAACGAGGCGTTTTAGGAGGGCGTGGACCAGTCTTAACTTTTATAAAGAATATCTCTTTGGGTTTGAGACTTTAGTCTTTGCAAGTTTAGGGATCTTATCTATTCACGAACAGCTTGTAACACTCCAAAGAGAAAGGAAAACTTGAAATCACATTATATGACCCCTTAAATTAATTTCACTCCATTCTACACTGGGTTGCTTGAACAGATAACAAATATAACAACTGCTCTCTATGTAACAATAATTACATTCATTATTGCAAATACTGATAATGACCCTTAACCATGGTACACTCACAGCCTCATGTAAAATAGTGCTTTGTGTGTGTGTTTCTTTACCATCATGAACACAAATATCATGTTCATGACGATGTTAGCGATGCCCACCACCGTCTGATCAGCGGAGATGGCCAGAGTCATGGACGTGGCTGTGTACGACACCAGAATGATGGAGAACAGGAAGATGAAGAAGGCCTCGGCCGATGCCTTCAGTCCTGCACAGGAAACACAAACACATCAGACTGCATGTTTCATATCAGACAATCATGAACGATGGCGATGTGTGTCTGACCGATCATCCAGTATGCCACGCAGCTGAAGATGATGGCCAGGATGGTGCGCAGAGTCAGGATGTCAGACAGGATCTTAGACAAGAAGTACACCGAGACTCTGTAGTATCCGCTGATGTACTCGTGCCTGAGGACATGCCCACCATAACAACATCATCAATCAATCAAATTACAATCACAACGGTAACTGCACATAAAACATCACTAATCACATTCACAAGACAATCTTAACAAAATTATGTTTAATTCATATTTTGTTTTCTTACTTTAGAACAAAAGAAATTAAGATTACCTCCAACTTGTCTTAAATCCCCAAAGGTAAAATGTTCTATGATTTCAATAGGTTATTTCAAACTGATTGTTGTAATTAAGCATTACAAAATAAACTAGATAAAAAAGTTCGTCAAGACAAACTTTAGGTTGGCTTGAGAAAGCCTAGTCTGAAAGTTTAAAGCAGTTGTAAAAGCCTGAAGTTTGAAAATTTAGATGGATAGATGTTGATAACATGTTTCTAGCATGATTAGCATGTTTTAACATGATTGGCCTGTTACTAGCATTTTGCTGGCATGATTAGCAAAGATGATGGCCAGGATGGTGCGCAGAGTCAGGATGTCAGACAGGATCTTAGACAAGAAGTACACCGAGACTCTGTAGTATCCGCTGATGTACTCGTGCCTGAGGACATGCCCACCATAACAACATCATCAATCAATCAAATTACAATCACAACGGTAACTGCACATAAAACATCACTAATCACATTCACAAGACAATCTTAACAAAATTATGTTTAATTCATATTTTGTTTTCTTACTTTAGAACAAAAGAAATTAAGATTACCTCCAACTTGTCTTAAATCCCCAAAGGTAAAATGTTCTATGATTTCAATAGGTTATTTCAAACTGATTGTTGTAATTAAGCATTACAAAATAAACTAGATAAAAAAGTTCGTCAAGACAAACTTTAGGTTGGCTTGAGAAAGCCTAGTCTGAAAGTTTAAAGCAGTTGTAAAAGCCTGAAGTTTGAAAATTTAGATGGATAGATGTTGATAACATGTTTCTAGCATGATTAGCATGTTTTAACATGATTGGCCTGTTACTAGCATTTTGCTGGCATGATTAGCAAGTAACTAGCTTTTTGTTAACATTATTATCAAATTACTAGCATGTTGCTAACATGATTAACAAGTAACTAGCATGTTGCTAGCAAGTGACTAGCATGTCTCTAGCATGATTAGCAAGTTACTAGCATGTCTCTAGCATGTTTCTAGCCTGATTAGCATGTTACTAGCATTTTGCTAGCATGATTAGCATGCTACTAGAATGTTCTAGCATGATTAACAAATGACTAGCATGTTTCTAGCATGATTAACAAGTTACTAGCATGTCACTAACATTTTTATAGCATGATTTGCATGTTACTAGCATGTTGCTAACATTATTAACAAGTAACTAGCATTTTGCTAGCATGATTAGCAAGTTACTAACATGTTGTTAGCATTTTTCTAGCATGATTAGCATGTTACTAGAATGTCGCTAACATGTTTCTAACATGATTAGCATTTTATTAGCATGATTAGCAAGTAACTAGCATGTTGTTAACATGATTAGCAAGTTACTAGCATGTCACTACCATGTTTCTAACATGATTAGCATGTTATTAGCACATTGCTAGCATGATTAGCACACTACTACCATGTTGCTAGCATGATTAGCAAGTGACTAGCATTTTTATAGCATAATTAGCAAGTTACTAGCATGTTTCTAACCTGATTAGCATGTTGCTAGCATGATTAGCATGCTACTAGCATGTTGTGAGTATATTTCTAACATGATTAGCATGTCTCTAGGATAGATAGATGGATAGATAGATAGATAGATAGATAGATAGATCGATAGAGTCAGATGATAGATATATATAGTCAGATGATAGATAAATAGACAGATAGATAGATAGATAGATAGATAGATTAGAAATATTAGATGAGTTTGAATGAGTTTAAATGGATTAGAAATAGTACATAGAAGGGAAGCTTGATTGAGTCTAA